AAACAAATACAAATACAAATGTTCTGATTGCACCACAAACGCAGAAGTCATCCTTACCTTTCACAGAGGCACTGAGTTTTATAAATAGGAGCATGGTAGTGTAGAATAATCATATCCAAGGACCAGTGGTGGGTTTCAAAAAAATTTGGAACCTCTTCTGTAGGTGTGGCCTCCTTTCTGGGTCCACTGGTGGAGCCTTTTCTAACCGGTTTGGTAGATTTGACGAACCGGTTCGATCGAATAGGTGCGAACTGGTAGGAACCCACCTCTGCATTCATCTCACAAGAGGGTTGCTTTATTACTATTAAACTATTGTACTGATATTTTTTATAACACTGATTTATTTTATTGCTATGTTGCAGCCCATTCAGATGTTTTGAGTTGGTCTGCAAAACCCTGTAAAATAAATAAATAATTCTAGGTGGCTGTTAGTTTTTGTACCTTAAATTCCTATGCTTCCGTTTATTGACTCTTTCTGCATCTCTTCCCATGACTATCCACAAAATAGACCTCACTATCATTTTACGGCCATTCAATTGTTTTGACAGTCTAGTGACATTTTTTTCAAATGAAGGTACATACAATTGATTGCTTTAGGAAGCGCATGTGTAACTCTCAGACTACAGGTAGCTCACAGCCACTTTCCACTACTAATAGCCGGGAAGGGGTGGGGGGAGAGACTGAAGAAGGAGGAAATTAAGAAAATGGGTTATGCCTGCAGAAAAGCCTTTTCTGTCTAGAGCATTACACAGAAAAACTTTATAAGTCTGGAAAAAGATTTGGCTGTTTCACTGATTTTAAGAGAAATGCTTTATACACACTGATGTTCATTGCAAAGCAACAACAATAACAGTAATCATCTTCATCTGCTGGAAAAGGATTCTGACAGTCTGTTGAACTGATTGTTTTAAGTTCTTTTTCAAATTACGATCATGTTAAAGCCTTATTTTAAACCTCATTACTAGCTGTTTTCTGCCTCGTCTCCTTCCCCTAATGCAATGACTTTTAAGTTCCTTGGTTGATGTATCTAAGGTGAGCCAAGTTCTGTAGTCTTCTAAATAAATGTGAATATACTTCATCTAACCCATCGATGCAATTGGCAATGCAGCCTAATATATCGTCCATAATAATGCTTTCAATTTGCTTGCATTTGTAGCTATTATAATTATTGTGAAGGATAGAGTGTGCCTGCCTTGAATATGATTTCTTGTCTCTTATTACTGCAATTAACCATCTTATTTAGATTTGCTTAAAAAAAAAATCACCTAAGCTCCATTTAACAATATGGCCAAACATTTCCAAATGCTCATATGGCAACAGATCATTATATACAAGATGGAGATAGCACTGGAGATGTCAAACTTATTAAAATTCAATCAAACATTGCATTTATTGTAAAGCCAAACAACTTTATAACCTGATCATTGCTACGATGACATATTTGGAGCGTTAATTATTTAAGCCTGTTCTGTTTAATTACAGTTTGAAAATGAGATAATCACAAAACTGGATCATGAAGTGGAAGGCGGAAGAGGAGATGAACAATATAAAGTGTTATTTGACAAAATGTAAGTGCTCATAACAGCTGGATTTATAATGATTAATTAACATTTGTTGATACAAAATACTTCAAATTAGTCTTTCCTGGAGGATATGTTCCCAAGTTTGATTAATAAGATTTATTTATTTTTTACTATCACTTTTCCAGCCTTCTAGAACACTGCAGAAAACATAAATACCTTGCCAAAAACGGTGAAACCTTTGTTAAACTTGTGGTGCGGCTGATGGAGAGACTTCTAGATTACAGAACTATTATGCACGATGAAAACAAGGAAAACCGGATGAGCTGCACAGTCAATGTTCTGGTGAGAAATGAAATGGTTATATGTGGGATCAAGAAGAATTCTATACAATCCCTTTTTTTCTTAGGCTGCCTAATCATATGACTACAATTAAGTGGATAAGATTCTGCCTGCTGGATGTTTCACAAAAAAGTAAAACTTCAGAACTTCATTTTCTTCTTTAAAACTGGGTGTTTAGAAATCAAGATTAGACAAACCAAGCCTCAATTAAATATATGATTCTGTTTACACCACCATAATTCATCTAAGAAAGCTACTAATAAAAGGGAAAATGTAGGATGATAAACTTCTAACTTTGGCAAAAGAGCTTGATTGGTAAGTAATGCTGCATCTTAAAAGGACAAGTCACTTTTGTTAGGTGGATTTAGGGGACTAACAAGTCTGATGGGTTGATGGGAGTTTAAACAATTAATACCTTTGTTTACTGCAATTTTCTAGAAAATAAAGATAAAAGATAAACTTGAGGATATAAATGGAAAGCGTAACTTCATACCAGAAGAAAGCTGACACTTAAAACTTTTCAAAAAAACAGATAGCATGGTGTTCTGCCCCCCCCCCTTTTTGTCCAGTAACAAAAGCCAAAACAAGCATAAAATGGAATGTCTTTTAAAAATAATAATAAGTCCAGACTCTCGGTGGCTGAAAGCCAAATAAACAAACCGATAAGGACTTTGGCAGCGAGTCCTACAAACCTTAGCAGCAATGCAAACAACCTCTGGCAGCAATCCAGCCTGCCAAGTTCGTTTCTCTTTAGTCCCAAATGTTGACTTCTGAAAGAAGGGCATGGCACAAGCAGTCTCTTTTATAGTCTGGAAGAGGAGCTTAATGACAATCAGCTGAGTGTAATTACCTCCTGTAATTACGTAGTTGTTCTTGACGCCAAGTAGCCCTTTGACGGCGTGCATCCCGGAA